CATGACGATATTTCCAAATGTTCATGTCATTATTTTCTAAATGCATACTGTACCATGATGTGCAAGTAAAAAACATGACTTTTTTCTTATCTCATTGTCCTCAAGAAGAGGGGAGTGAGGCTAGTATTGAAGACCTTGCCCTGCCTCTATCTAAGAGGGCTTTCACAAGCAATACTTCTCTACTGAACAGAACCAACCCTGGTGAAAAATGCTGGCTGTCCTCAGGCCAGAAACTGGAAGTAAGATTGGATATGAAAATCTGAGAGTCTTTGAATTCTATGACCTAATCCTCTTTGATCACAAGCGGGTGAATTTAACTCACCATAAATGAGTTTATTAGAAACTCTTTAAAGCTTGGCTGCTGACATTATATGCATCCTCTAACATCTAGACCCAAAGGTGAATAATTATAAGCTTACTCAGGCCTCCAGTTGCCCTGCTATTTCAGTATCAGATAGGACTCCAAAAAGGGACAAAGACTAGGTCACATTGAACTCTGTGGATGGTCACATGAAGAAACTAACAACAGAGTAACTCTGATGTTAAAAAGTGGCACAGAAAATATCCTAAATGACTTTATTTTATTAACATTGCAGCTAAATGCCTTCCTCACACCTTAGCTCCATGCACAAGATGTGATCTAGAGAGGGAAACTGGCAAACTGATGATGTATTTACAGACTCAAGACAGGAGTTAGATGAAAATTTCAGAAATGTATACAGCCATCTTATCCTTACACAACCTAGTACAGTTTTACGGCTTCTGTTGGCCAAATAATTCATAATCTTTTAAAAGGATCATCACTTATGACATTCCATTTTAATAGGTGGACAACCATGAAGAAAGAGAATTGAAATTACTTATCTTGGGTTACCCACAAAAAACGTGGGTAACTTAGGGATGAATTGCACATCATTTTTTAGCATCCGGGCTCGCACTCTGATGCCCAAACATTATCCTTCTCTGAGGCTCCGTATTAAAGAAAGCAATGTACCAGAAGCACTGACCCAGCAGAAATCACCCTCATTGGATGGCACTTGATCCATTAGTTCAGCCTAAGACAAAATCAACTCTAAAATAATAGTCTTGTATGTCAGAACTATTGTCTTCACTCCTTCTGTCGTCCCACACATTCAGTTTTGCTGCTAATGAACCAAGACCGGATTCAGCTACTGTATAACCCAAATTTATTTCAGAGTATTACCTATTCTACGTACTGAAAGAAGATGAGGACAAAAAAACCATGTAGCTATGGAATTTAAAGTTACATTAAAATACATACACACTGGTAGATGAAATTGAGATACATCTTAACTCCACATAAACCTGCTTTCTTGACTTTTCAAATTTAATTTTTGACACTGTAAACAATTATCTTTTTAAAAAGAGGTTATTTAGTTGATGATAACAGTTGTGCACAACTCTACCATCTTCCTTTCACTGCATCAATTGGAAGGTGAATTGCACTTTGGACCATCAGCTCTGTAGTCATCATTCATCACCTGAATTGAAGTATAAAAACACAAGTACAGAGAGATACAAGACAAATCAACTACTGGTTTCAGAACCCCACCTCTGTGGACGAGGCATAAAATGCCAGAGACTGCTAATTAACATCAGTGCTAGTGGCCTACATATACGTGAAAACCTCACTTTATGAAGAGCAGAGTTTTGCCAGAAGCTGTCTGAGAAACCATATTTCTCCCACATTTATCTACCTCCATGTGCTATACTAGTGTACTGCATTATTTTCTTTTATAAAAAATAAAGGTCACAGAAATAATGGTAGTGGTCAGAAGTGCCAATAAAACTGGAACCCAGGTAATGTTTCTTGGTGTCCAGCACAGTCCCCACCTAAGTTGCCACCTTCCCCTCACCCGTCTGATAAGAAGCAATTGCAGCAGCAAGAGCATCCATTTTGCTTATGTCCCGGTTAGTGATTAGTGCTGACACCAAAATAGAGTTGCAGTGTAAAACCAAGAGCCAGTACTGGTGACAAATGAAAGGACTTTAACTTGTCTAGCAATTCTGAGTTAGCCAAACAGAGCTGGAAGGTAGTGGCTATCAACAGCTCTACCTTAGGCCAATCCAGACATTTCATGAAAGCAACAAAAGCCATCCTTATCACTCCAGAATGACCTTCTAGATAAATTTTAGGTTGCAAAAAGTTGAAATGTTACAATGTTTTTCTAGTGCAAAGTCTTAGTGAACTAAATACAGATATAAGCACCATTCTCCCACTGTTTCTATGATCTTCTGACTCTTGAAAATCAAAATTGTTCACTTTCATAATCTAGGAGTGAGTTGCGGTCTAAATTCCAAACTCTCAGTGAAAGAAGACCGGCAGTTCATAGAAAGGCTAAAGTTTGTCAGTATCCAGATCAAGACAGATGAACATGTTTTCTATTACTTGGTATATTCTTGTGATCAGCTGGGATCAGAGGAGCTGCAGAAGAGTATACAGAAACTGATTGTCTAGTTAAAGGTGTACTAGAAAGAAAGGAAGTTTCTAGAAGTACTAGAAGGAATTAGGAAGTTTTGATCATGAGTTTCTCTTTCTTGCTTGTCATTTCACCTGCTTTTTATGGCAGCAGATGATGCTCCTCAATTTTCAAGTTTCACATACACAGCTATGTCTGCCAATGTATTTTCTTGTCCTCAGATAAATTGACATTGGTAAGATTCAGCTCTGTCTGAAGGTATTACAACCAGATATTAACTGCTTCTTGAGAGCACTCACTCCAACACCACAACACATTGTCATAGACTGTCTGTACATATGTGCTTTATGCACACCTTACAGTTTCAGCACACTGTTATGTAACTGACTGGATTTTGGCTTAGCTCCCCTTGCTGGGATTGCTCCCAACCATATCAATGTATCCACTATTGAACTTGCAGTTGGACTTGCTAACTAGTATGGTATTTCATTACGTATATTCTTATGCAGACGACTACAGCAAAAACTAATAATCTCTTGAAAAGTGTTTGTTCTGTTGAGATAGCCATTCAACTGAGGAAAGTCGATCTCTGTCAGCTAAAGCTGTAAGGGACTAATCTTGGGTACTGCATTTTACAGAGAAACACAATGGCACAGATCCAGCAGTTTCAAGGAGAGGTGAAGGGTGATGTCTGGAGGAGTCCAGACCAGACTCTGCAGACCAGCTCTTGGAACCTGCCTTGCAGAAGACTCATTGGCCATACTGTTGAGTTGATGATAGCTCTGACTAACGTCACAAACTGTGTTACACTGAAAATTGATTTTCCTCTGTTTATTTTCAAGCCCAGGCCTTGCAAGAAGAGCAGGCTGTTGGTGGGGCTTCAAGTAAGACTGAAGTCAGATACTGACAGACAAGGAAAGTTTACTCATACTTAACTTTCTATCATCTTGTCTTTCTTACATCTTTAAAGATCTAGAGTGGCTAGAAGTCTTTTCACGCTTCTAAAAATGAAACTCCCACACCCTCCTCCTGCAAAACCTTTAAAATAGTTACTCTCTCCCCTATACTTCACATACTTTTCGTATCTGTGCCCCTTCCCCCTCTTAATTGTCCTCAAAGACAATAAAAGAAAAAAACTTTAAACTTTAATTCCTTTGACATTACAGCTGGAGTGGGCAGCTAAAATAAGAAAAAGTGTGATTTTTATACAATATAAAAATTAAGATTAAATTGTGTTTAAAAACAGCTGTTCGAAACAGTAAAAGCAGAAATAAAATAATTAATCAGTCCTGCCAGCTCCTGAGGATTTTGTGACTGGCAACGGTAAGATATTTTCTATTTCACTTGCAAATATCTTTTAATTCATGTATTAAAAATCATGCCTCAGTTTTTGAGTTGATGAAGGAAACAACATGCTCATGCCAGGTTCATGGTTTCTTTATGTAGGTATCAATACTGCAGATAGCAGTTTTTCCCTCTGTGACTGTGGGAAAAGGAAGACCATACAAATAATATTGTCACTTACATACAGTGTAAATAAAGATTGCTGATATCCTGCCATTTTTGTACAATCACCATTTGGATAAAAAAATAAATAAAACATTTCTTCTTTTTTTCCAGATGAAATATGCTTCTGTTGTCTATCTATCTCAGGGAAGAAGGAAAAAGATACTGCTCTCTACCTGGATTTCAGCACTTGGTTTTTACAGAACATCCTGTCCTGATGTTCTCCCCACATCACAGTCCTGGAAATCTGGGTTGTTTCTTTCACATCATAAGATCAAGTATGTGAAGTGCAAATCTCTGTTCTTCCTAAAGAGCTCTTTCAATGCTAGAGGTGCCGCTACTTTTTGCTCCTGCTGCACAGCCACAGTTTACCAGTGTGGAGAAAAACAACCAAACTTTGGTGAAGAAGAGATGCAAGCTTGCTCACAGGAGCAGTCCAATCTCGGATTACAACTATTAGGTTGGCTTTGCACTAAAAACTGCCATTTTTTCCATCATAGTATTCTGTACTGTTAATGTCCAAAGTGCTAACTGGGTATTTAATTTCATTTATGACAAAACTTAATAAAAGCAACACATGGTCGAAATCCTGCCTTGTTTTTTCAGGCATTAGGGTTGAGATCTTCAATGTGCAAGGAGATGCTCAGTGGGATATTCTTAATTGCCTAGGTCTAATTCCCACTGAAACTTGAACACCTTAAAAATCTGGCCCATGGCTTTACCACAGAGCTAAACAAGACCAACAGCATTCTTATGTTAAAGCTTCAATGCAATATATGTATATTACCATAGGAAATTATTTTAAGATTATATTCAAGCATTTTCAGTCTCCACTCATAAACTGGCACCATTTCTTACCCTTGAAATTTTGAAATGAGTTCTGCTGTATTATGAAATACTTGTCAGCCAGAAAGATCCCTTCCTTTCCACTCTCAAGTATTGCACCATATAGTGAGACACAGTTTAGAACAGGACCTTTTCTACAGACTTGTAAACAGTATTATGGAGGATTTTCTATCCTAAAATTCCTGTAATCATAATTTTTCTGAATACCTGAAAAAAACCCGGTGGTACAGGACCTACTGGCATGCCATCTCCTGGGGGAATGTTTCCTAGCACTGGACTGGGAGCTGCTGCAGCACTCTGAAAAGAACAAAGGGAGAATAAACCTTTGTCATTGCATGGTAGGCATTAAACCCCCCCAAAAAAAAAACAAACGAAAAAAAACCCAAAACCTGACCAAAATGCAGAAAGTAATTCTCTGGATATGTCATAATGTCATTATTTCATCGGAAGGTAAATTAGAATTGTATAGTGTTTACCCTTCATTTATACAAGTATAATGATTTGTTAAAATAACAAATGTATGTTGAGGGGAAGGATGCTAGACATTGCATGGATATACAAATATGCGTCAATTAGATAAATCTTGACTAGATTCTAAAAAATATTGCATCTGAGTGTGTCTATATATATACAAACGTGAATGTAACTTGCACACTTTTTCTTGTATTATGTGTAAAAACATCCTCACACATGCACAAGGATATACATATAGCATAAAGAAAGTAATTTATGCATTTTATCAGCAAATTCCAAGCACTTCAAAGATAATTTCAGCAGACTGCAATATTCTTTCAGAACTACATCAAGCTTCAAAACAGGATTCTGTTACAAAGAGTACAAGAAGGAATGCTCACGATTCTGCTGGTAATGCTTATGATTTTACCAACCCCAAAAATAACCACCATGACAAATTAGAAGAATTCAGGTTACGTTTTTGGAAGGGAAAAGAAAAAAGGGATTTCTAAGAAGTGAATCAGAGGATGAAATTAGTTACCTTTGCAAATCCTTCGGTTGGAATAAGCAAGTAAAGAATATTGCTTCGGGCAATTTACAAGCAGGAGATCGTCACAAAAAGGGAAGCCAAACTGTTATTGTTGTCATGTATTGGAACCTCAATTACTTTTAATTTCTAGCAGTCTTCCTTCCTGCAATATGTTTCTGTAGGGCATAAAGCTGAATCACCTATAAAGACTTACAATCTTCTGTGAAAGTACTCATGCACACACAATGCAGAGAGCCACTTGCAGCTTACTAATGACCTGCCAATATCTGCCCTACAGAATATGAATGGCTTATGTTTATTAACTTATCACTCTATTGTACTCTCACACTTGATACCCAAAAGATGCAGATCTGGAAATTGTATTTCCAGGTGTTTGGCACACTGTCTAGGAAATTAAAGAATAATGCTGTTAAGATTTGAAAACTGGCACAAAGAAGGGCTGACCTTTTTAAACTAAGCAGAAAGGAAATATTCAGTTAATTACCACAGATTTTTCAATGGCTTAAGCTGTGCTTTAGAATCAAATTTCTGAACAACTAGCAGTAGCATATTTAGCATCTAAGCTGTATGTTCTTTCCAAACAAAAGTCTAGAACATATCATTAAAATACAAAGACTGCAGAAAGTGCTGGCTTCAGAACTGAGTTCAAGACTTTGATTCGCTAGAAAACCCTGTAATAAAGGGTCTTATTTATGCGAGGATCTGGTCTGCATGATCAGTGTTAAAATACTATATAATTGCAACTGACAGAAAAAGCCAGTCAGGTGAGTTGGACATAGCAAACACTTTTGAATCATAACTACCTGCTTGTGAGAGGCTACCACTAGTCAACCAAACCAGCCTATAAAGCTGTAGTAAATAAAAGGCCCACTCCGCTAGTCACTGCCATTCTTTGAGCACTGCCTGAAGGACATGAGACTGGAGTATGATGTTGCTTAGATGCATGCAAAATCATGCAACTCTCTGAAAGGTTCTTGGGTACTTCTCTCAGGTCTGTCACAGCCTCTTGGCTTCCCAGACAGAGGGGGTCTGAATGCACAGAAATAATGCCTGAACAAGATAATTCTGTTACCTTTCCTTTCTTTTGCATGGCTTCTGTGAACGCCCACTAATTATTTTCATATTATCTACATTTCCAAAGGAAAACAGAAGGGAAAGTTTTTGGTTTGTGGTTTGTTTTTTTGTTTGGTTGTTTGGGTTTTTTTAAAGTAAAAAATGACCTGTTTAAACTGAGCATCGGGTAACAATGTCAACTAAATTAATGAGTAAGTGCAGACACAGTTTGAGTGAAGTATGTTGGATCTTACTTCCATATGTACAGGTTTTCTAGATAAAGAATGACAACAGTAGCATCACTGATAGGGAAGATCAATGATGTTAAAAGCCTGAGCATCTTGAAATGTCCAAAATAGCCTGCACTGCAGTCTCTGACTAAGAAGGAGTAACCCATTAAAGGAGCACTAATAATGATGAACCTTATTACAATATCATCCCTCCTTGCATACTAATTCCTGGTTGCCTCTATGCTACCTTAGCTGTGTCCATCTTTACCAGCCGTGTAATATGCACTATACTATGTCCGATGGAGCTGATGCTACAGAATAAAGCATTTGAATAGACTATAATAAATCACTGAGCAAACACACCTCAACAGTATGAAGTCAGATAGGCAAAATACTGTTAAGTTGCGAGACCTCAGAAAAAGAGCTAAGCAGCACCTCCCCTGCTACATGACCAGTTTTCGGAAGCCTCCTGTCCCAGGTTCCCTCACTCCTACTCATATTATTTAAACTAAGCTATACCAGGCATTAATGCATGTCAGAGTGCCTCAATGCATTCAATGGGTCTTAGATGTCCTCAACTGTGGCCTATGCCAGAGCCCCCAGGTTACAAAAGGATGCTTCTAAGAGGAGGGAACAACTTCTCAGGATGCAGTGCTCCTATAGAGATATAGGGATCTGCCTCTGCTGAGTTCATGCCGTTTCCCACACTTTTTGAAAATCACTTTAAAAAGAAAAATGGTAAAATATACTTAACAATTTAAAAAACAGAGAGAGAAGGAAATAATGGTTATTCCAAAACAGGGAGAGAAAAGGATTAAAATTATATCTGTTAAGATTTATGTTAGCCATTAAACCTCCTAACAAGGCTTTATAAGAAATATACCTAAAGATAACATTTTCATCATTGTCTCAATAGTTGTTTGTTTTTTTTTTAAAAAATATATTTTTTTTTAATTTATTTTTGAATCTGACTTAGCACTGATACCAGAGGAACACAGCTTTGTTCCTCGGTGAACCTCAGAGATTAGCGTGCAACTCTCCAGGACTGGTAAAATGCGCATAGGGCAATTCTTTGTCTACTGGGCTACAGACATAGCAATGAATGACCATAAGGCTACCTCACCAATGTAATGAAATGAATTACTTTCAGAGGTGCTGCCAATTCCTCTGAAGGGGATATGGCTCCAGAGTAACCACTTTTTAGGAGGAGTGGGGTTTGTACAACTTTGTTGATGAAGAAGATACACAGAAAGGAGTCAGATCAAGCCAACACATGAGACTGTAGAGCTTCTACAGCCTCCTCAGAAAGCCTTCTGCTTGAGGACTGAAGTCCCATTCTGGAGAGCTGCCCCGAGGGTGGCCAAAAGATCTGAGCAGTGCTATCGGATGGATATTGGAGGAATCATTTGTGATGATGATGGGGGAAGAAACACAAGGTCTTGTGGAGGTGATTACACAAGTGATCCAGACTAATTTACTCAAATCTTGGTTCTCGTGGTTTCCAGAGAAAAAGGCCTCAACTAGCTCTTTGCTTCAGGCTAGATACTCAAAATTAAATTAACTTACTAATGTTGGCCATTTTTTGATAGTGGACCGTGATGTTTCAGGGAGGTATTCAATGTGTTGATTTTAATTGGCCTAATTATTTGAGATTTTATTACATTGTGCAGTTTATACACACTTGTGCAAAACCATCTCTCCTCTGTGTTTCTGAGTGGGAAGGAGGACAGAATGATGCAAAGTTTGAGAGGCCATAATAGTAGGTCGGTTTTCTGACATTTGAAGTACTGCTTAATAATTGTAAGAATACTGTAGTTATGGGCATTCCACAATAGTCCAGTCTTAGGTGTTACAGAAACTTCAGTTTCTATCTTTAATTACATAATGTACTGGTGCTTTTTTCTGTTTTCATGTTTGTTTGTTTGGGATTCTTTTCCCTGATCAGCAATGAAGTCCCAAAACCAGAAACAAAGCATTTTCAGTGGTTTAGGTATATTACATTTTCTAGCTTGTGCTATCCAATGAACGTTTTAAGACCTTATACCAGGTAGATCAGTAAACAAACCTGCAACTGCTGCACTGAAATATTCTTATTTATTCTATCCTGATGAATTCATTCATTTCTTTTTTCACAGTCCCACAGCAAACCATGGCTTCTATTTGCACGCATTACAAGTTGTTCATCATTATTCTTCCATTAGTTTGACATTTTAAATATTTGCAATTTGCTTTCACTGTTTTTCATAAAAAGATGAAATAGGAAAATTTAAATGGTCTGATCTTTTTGTACACTATCTTACCTTCTTAAAAATGGAAAACTATATTTGCTTTTGTAGCTAAAATACTGAATTTATGGTATCTCTTTACAATTATTAATTAAAATGGTGTACTTCAATGAAACTTATTGTGGTCATTCTTTGCTCTATCCAAGCTACTCTCGACAATGTAAAAAAAGATGATTATATTAAAAAAAAACTAAAAATAGCCATGGTTTAGGCTGTTTTTTGCAATAAAGAAATCACAAAGTAAATAAAAAATAAAAATAAAATAGGTTAGTTATTCCATTAGTACAGTATCTGAACTATAAAAGTCCAGAGAGAAGTCTGCAACACGTAGGTTATTTTTTGAGGCTATCACAAGAAGTGCTTTATGACGGAAGCTCACAGAAGAATTCCATTTGCAATCAAAAAATTTTACAAAGAAAGGACTTGACTTGATCTATAAAAATACTCATCCGGCTCATTCACTATTCTGGCCATTTAATTTCAGGTATTTTGCTTAGAGTAAGACATCCTTACTTTTATCCAAAGTAAGTTTATCACATTACTAAATTTTTCCATGAAAAGGAGATTTCTAATTTTTTAGAAGTCTACCTGATGATGAATGATGAAATCTACTTGATGATGGATGAGAGAAGTTGGACCTCACATATAAAACAGATCTATGGCCACTCTTGGCCACTCCATTCCCTCACCATCCAAGCCTCCTCCATAAACCTCCTCTACATCAGC